GCGGTGACGTCGTCGCAGGCAACATCCCGGATTCCAGCCGGTGGACTTGCGGTGTCACCTCCCAAACGTTGGACCCACCGTTGGGTCTGAGGGCAACTGGAAGCCTTGGGTTACCCCTACGGCGTTGAGGGATCATGTGGTCAGCGTAAACGGGGGTCACCATGGCCAGGGACACCTTCCACTAGACCAGGTTGCTCCAACCCTCATCCAGCCTGGCCTTGGACACTTCCAGGGATGGGGCACCCACAGCTTCCCTGGGAAAATGTTCTCATTGAGTCTGGGGTCAACCACAGTCCCACCCCCAACTTCAGTACCGATGATTCTACGGGAATGGGAAGATCAACTGTTGGATTTGATGACCCTAAAGGTCTTTTCCAGCCTAACAGACTCCGATTTCCCGCCGAGGTAGTCATTGCGTCTAGCTTATCGACCGGGACTCGGGCACCACCAAGCACTCCCATGCCAGCCCCCCCCCCACCAGAAAAAGGGAGCGGGGGGTCCCTGCGTGGCCACAAGTTGAGTTGGTGGGTCCAGTCTGGGCATTTTATTCAATAATCCTCACTCCACCCCATTTTAAGGACCGGTTGGGATCCAAAAGTAGTTGTTACGATTTTTTCCCGTGTCACAACCGGACCTACTTCAGGAAAAACGGGATGAAGTCAAGGATGGTTGGAGGGTTGGGTTGTGACGAGTCTGGGCGGAGATGGATTTGGGAATAAAGAGTGAGAGCCGCCAGCGCCTTAACCCAAAGGGGTCAACGGGATGAGAAGAACAAGGGTCCCGCTACCCGAAGACCGACGTAGGCACCCCGCGTCGCTAGCGGCGGGCTCCAACCCTGGGCGTGCCAACACTCACACAACCGCGGTCATCGGGTGAGACACGGGGCACATCCGCGGCCGACCGGCCGACAGACTCCGGGCATCCCGAATTCTCTTGCTCTTGGGCTGCGGGAGGCCCGCCTGGACTCGCCGGTGGATCGCCGCATCCCGCGCCCGCCCCGCGCCGGACCTTCCCTCTCAGCGTGCGGTCGCGCAACACCCTGGTTTTCCGGTGACTCTCCCGGTGCTTCCTGCAGCGGGAGGCGTGGTGGAAGGTTTTCTTGCAGGTGGCGCAGGTGTAGGATTTTTCTCCCGTGTGGATCCGTCGGTGCACGAGGAGGAAGTCATTGGCCTGGAAGTTCTTCCCGCCGTCGGAGCATTCGGAAGTCCCCCCCTCGCTGTGGAGCTGCTGATGCTCCAGGGTGGCCGTGAGGGTACCAAAACATTCCCCACAGCTGGGACACCTGAAGGGTTTCGCCTCGGCGTGACTCCGCTGGTGCCTCCGAAGGGTCGACCGGTCGCGACAGCCCTTCCGGCAGCAGGGACACCTGAAGGGTCTCTCTCCCGTATGGATTCGTCCGTGTTTCAGGAAGGATCCTCCGTGCCGGAAGGCCTTGCTGCACTTGGAGCACCTATGGGGTGACGCTGTTGCGTGGGTGGCGCGGTGGAGGACCTGAGCTGACTTTTCCTGGAATTTTTTACTGCAGTAGGGACATTTGTAACGTCCGTCCCCTCGCTGACCTTCCCGCTGCTTCTTCCCGTGGGTTTTCCTGTGTCGGATGAGTCCCGAGCTGTCCTTGTAGCTCTGCCCGCAAACCACACACCCGTAGGGTCTCTCCGTGGTGTGGCACTGCCGGTGTCTCACCAGTTGGCAGCTCAACCGGAAGCTCTTTCCGCACTCGAGACAACCGTAGGGTTTGTCACCGGTGTGGATTCTCCGGTGGCCGACGAGGTCCGAACTGGTGCTGAAGCTCTTCCCGCACTCGGGACACTGGTAGGGTTTCTCCCCGGTGTGGACCCGCTGGTGGACGATTAAGGTCGATTTCCGGTTGAAGGGATTCCCGCACGCCGAGCACTGGTGCGGCTTCTCTCCCGTGTCCCCCCGCCGATGGAGACTCAGGTACTTCCTCAACATGAACTTCTTCCCGCACACGGGACACGGGAAAGGGCTCTCCTTGCCGTGGGTGGCTTTGTGGAGCAGCAGGTACCTCCTGGCCTGGAAGGCCTTCCCGCAAACAGGGCAGACGTGGGGTTTCTCCAGGGCGTGGATCTTCCGGTGGGTGCAGAGGGTGGAAGTGAGCCGGAAATGCTTCCCGCAGTCCAAGCACCGGTAGGGTTTCTCCCCCGTATGGACCCGTTCTTCCGTTGGGTGCAGAGGGTGGAAGTGAGCCGGAAATGCTTCCCGCAGTCCAGGCACCGGTAGGGTTTCTCCCCCGTATGGACCCGTTTATGCCTGTTGAGAGACGACCCGATCCGGAAACTCTTCCCGCATTCGTTGCACGTGAAGGGCTTTTCCCCGGTGTGGATGCGCAGGTGGGGGGTGAGGTAGGACTTCCGACTGAACACCTTCCCGCAGTCGGGACAGCTGTAGCGACCCTTGGGAACAACCCCTCCCGCCTCCCCCGCGCTGCTCTTCCCG